AAAGGTGACTATTTAAATAGTTTATAGTGACATAATTGATTTAAATTTTTGTTTCTTTAACTTCCGAACCTTTTTATTGTTGACAAAAATATCTCAAGGATTTCACGATTTAACATTCAATTGATTTATCATATAGATACATATATGCAAATTATACATTTGGAAAATTTACTACAAAAAATCAGGGAAAAAATGAATTTCTGGTCTTGGAAAATCTGAAAAAGTCGGGAAATTTTTTTCATCGAGCTACACCCTGGTCCGCAGAGAGAGAGAGAGCGAGAGAAAGAAAGAGAGAAACATGGAAGCGATCCCCCCTTCTGATATTTTCTATTCCGAGTCCAACGACACCGTCAGCCAGCACCTACGTGCTTCTGGCGGGTCCTTGACTTCTCTAGGCTACGGTAAGTCGCCAGTCGAGACTTTTGCCACGCCGATACGCAGAGGATAAAACAAGTAGTAGTAGTAATAGTGCCGGGCAGCCGATCTCGACTTTGTCAGGGCGATACACTCCATCTCTCGGATTTTCAGTCTCTTATTTACATCCTTACTCCTCGCTGGAGACCTTCAGGGTCTGGTCGATGGGACACGTGGGTCGTATTTTCGATTGACAGCTTGGTATATATATTTGATAAAATAATGACCAACAATCTTTGGATTGTAGTTACATGCTATTTGATCATTCCATGAATCATTTTGCAATTTGAACGACTGTATTTTACGTTGATTTTATCACGTGGAAATCCAAGCGAATTAAGAATGGCGAAGACGTCGATCTTCTGAGCGTTTTTTTTTTCGCTCGTTTTCTACAACTGATGTTCCTCGTATAATCTAGTTTGACTCGATTTATTACTCGCGGCGATACACTAAACGTCGATTTTGTTAACAGGCTGTATTATTAGCTGCACTACATCACGATGACTCGCGAATTTATGATTATTTTATGCTACCACGAGCAAAATGCAGCATGGGGCCTGCGATGATCTCATTTAGTCGTTAATGACTTGGATAATGCTGAACGGTGGTAGATAAATCTGGATATACGCCCCGAACGTCTGTAATTGACGCGTGAATCAGAATCGTTTATTAAAGCATTATCGAAATTATTACTACACACAAGTTCGAAAAAGATATTTACATTCAAAGAGATTAAAAAAAAAAAAAAAAAAATGATGTGTACAGTTTCTCGTATAATCAAAAGAGTATACAAAATTTTGAAAATACGTATAAAACATCTCGAAATAAGCTACGAGAAATATACTTGCGCAAAGATTTTTACGGCAAATATTTATTCCGGCATATCGGAGCTGGAAAAATGTTCAACTACAAAAAGAGAACGGAGTGAAACGCGCACACAATCGCGCACCGATAAGAGGAGACCCAAACGGCAAACGGTTCAATCTCCGGGATCAATTTTCGAGAAACTCTACAGAACGGCGGACTGAGAAAGAGTATACGTCAATACGATATCTGGACGAGTGTATCTCTCCCGAACCAGGCGACCTTAATACGCGTGGACGATGTCCTCGACGGCATCCTTGAATTGCTCCGATACAGCCGCGAGAGAGGAATATCTCTGTTTTATACCGGGGCGTATCCGCAGAAACTCTTGTCTCTGTCTCTCTTCTTTCTTCATCTCGCCATCCTCGACAGTTCTCGAAAAGTTGGGCCGCAAGACCGCGCAAAGTCGGTCGCGCGTGCCATCCTTGGCACGCCCGACTTTATCTTCGACTTTGACCCGCACTTTGCGAAATTATCTACACACCATTAATTGGCTTAATCTCGAATAAGCGCGCCGCCTTTCGCCGCTACCGGGGTTAATTAGTAATCTGCCGTGTGTTGTACACCGCCGGCTTTCTGCGAATTTCGTTTATTCCGCGGTTAGGTGGCTGCCTGCAACTCGGCGAGTCGAAGGTCGAATTGAATTAAATATAACACACTGTAAAAAAATTTTGTAAAATTACATTAAAAATATATGTAAAATTACATAAATAATAAATGTAAAATTACACGATAAATAATGAAAAGGTAAACATTTTTATTATTTATCGTGTAATTTTACACTTATTATTTATGTAATTTTACATATTTTTGTGTAATATATTACATATTTTTTACAGTGCAGGGTGATTGCGCGGATGAATTTAGCGGGAAACTTTCAGACGGGAAAAAAAGAGGGACGGACAAAGTAATCTCTAACTTACATTATTATCAAAGAAAACTTTATGCTGATAGAACTCGAACGAAAAAAAGAGCGATTTAATTGACGATACGAAAATCGAGAGCATTAAATGGACCCTCGATTAGCAGTTTAAATATTTGAAAGCTTTGATGGATCGGTATGAGAGATCAAAAAGTGCTTTTTTCTATCACGAGTTTTTATTTTTAATATTATATGTTGAACATATTAGACGGTCCGATTATTTATTTAATTGACCGAATCGAATTATCGTTACAAATAATTTTTGCTAGCTTTCGTATTTGCCGAGATAACCGTTTGTTACATAAAGCCGGGAGAGGATTATTACGCGTTCATGATAAATGTATCGCGCCTCTTCGAAATATCTGTGAGCACTATGCGAGGGCGATAATTCCTTTCATTCCGCGTGGCGATTTATCCGCAATGATTACCGTAGTACCTTATTAAATGGTTAATGAATTCGATGGCAGGGGTTTTAGTACTTGCTTGCGTATCGGTGTGTGCGCAAGCAATATCGATTGTCGCGTGACGTCATTCGCAGAGACCGGCATTCGTCTTCAACTTTGGCTTTTTAACGTTCCAATATTCGATTCACGACTTGTTTACATGTGCCGATCGAGTAATTGCGTTTTTTTTTTTATCAAACTAATTAAATCGAATTGTTGGTAAAGTGTTAATTGAATCAACTTTAAACCTGTTAAATTATTATACGAATCTATAGCAGTCGAACGTTTTACAGCTCCGATAACGGATATTCATCTTTAAAAGGTTTATATAGGAAATACATTTATTTAATCATTTTAATTAACGTTTGTCATATTATTTATATTTGTAAATAATAATCAGTAAGTAGTAAAGCAATATTTGTACAACTTTGAAATGCCGTTACGCCTGTAGCTTTAGATCCGCCACTGGTTACAATCCGTTAACAACTTCGACAAGTTTAACAGCGCGAGTAAGTATAACCGCGTGACATCATCAGAGCCTTTATCTTCGACTGCACGCAAGTCTCCGGTAAGGAGATTCGAGAAAGTCGTCCGTTGTTTTGCTCGGTTTGTGCATTTGCGAAACTTTGCTTTTCTGTTTACGTGTCCGCGGAAGCTGCGGTGTTCAATGATGTCTGACTGATACAATTGTGCAACAAAGTTGGAAAGTTGAGGGTGGATGTTATCGACGATTAGTGTTACACGTGTCAAGTATAACGCCAACATATATATTGTTACCTTTAATCTTATGGCACAATGAACTTTACAATTTTGAGATATTTCAAAAGTTTTGGTACACGCGGTCCCTTTAATCCAATTACTTTGTATATTAATATGTCTTATTGTTATACATTGAAAATAAATATGGAGAAATATGTAATGCTGTTATAACAGTAAGATTATTAAATTAATAAATATTTATCTGGTTTGAAAATAATTTTCTTATATCAAATAAATATTTTTCACATCAAATCAATATTATTAGTTTTAAATAAATGGTTTATTAGGCATTTCTTTTAAGAATTCATATCAACAACATGCGTGAGATAATAGAATGGGTATAGAAGCATAGAATAAGAAATTATTGACCAACAAAAAGTTGTCATTAATAATCAGTGATATCGATTCAAATATTCGATGGTTAATCAATGAAAAAAAAGAGGCCTGAATTGATTATAAGTATACAGAGCATTTTCTCTTAGAATTTACTCCGAAAATCACAGTAATCGTGACAAAATGGTATTGGAAGAATTTTATTTTTTTCTGATTAATATTTATTACAATAAAATATAAAACATGTTTAATTAATTTTACCATATATATATATTAATCAGAGAAACTCATAAAATGTTTCTAAAATATTGTCCCACGTTTACCATGATTTTCAGGGTAAATTCTAAGAGAAAATTCTCTCTGTATCTCGGAACCTTTATTCGATAACAGAAACGAATCTTTTACATGTCTCAATCGTGCAATTATTAGCAATATATGTACGTCGTCGATATTTAATGATTTAAAATTAAACGCCACTAGCAGGAAGTTGTGCTAAAAAATATATGTATTACTCACACTTTGTCCATCGCGAGACCCCATCCGTTTCGACTCGGCTCCAATCAGATCGCGAATACGCTCGGATGCTGCGCCCATCTCATCTCTGCGCGTGTGTGCGTACATTTAACCTACATAAAGTCGTGATTGGGCGAAGTAAATGGCGAACGATCTTTCAGATAATCGACGATACGCAACACGAGTATCGTCGGTTCCTCTCACGCGGAGAAAGCCGGTTTCGTTCGTCCGCTCATTGAAAAAAAAAAAAAAAAAAAAACAGAAGGACAGACGCGATTTATCCCGTGTTTGTGCACGTTCCGTGCGGCTTCAAAAGTTTAATCATTTTTTTTTTTTCCATTAAAATAGGCGATCCGCAAAATCGCGACGCAGAACGAATGTTGAAGAACGCGAAACCCGAGAGATAAACTCGAACGAACGAGAGGATTACAGGGACTTAACGTGACTTTATTCGCGCTCCTCCCACGATTATTAACTATTGAAGTATAACGCTTTGACATTATCCTATCAACGCTGCGATTCGCGCTACTTTTCTCTAATGCTTTTAACAAATTTAAAGTTGTAAAAATTATATCGCACGCATAAAAAAATCATATCCAGAAATCGACTCGTTGAGTGCTCAAGTATAAAGATTTCGCGAAGCCAGGTTCTCTCAAATACAAGGCATCTTGGAAATTAATAATCCATTTTAGATCAGTTTATTGTCCTACACGAATGAAATAATAAAATTGATATAAAAATATATACCAGTTACATACATACATACATGCGAGATATAATATATAGACCTTTTATTATACAGACTGATAAAAAAACGCTTTACGTAACACGGATAAAACGTGATTGTACAATGGTAGTTTGAAAAGCGATATTGAAAATTAGGAGTGAAAGACGATCAGTTAGGAAAGTGCACACCTTGCTCTTTTGTTCACAGGGTATTATCAGCCGGCTGGTCCACTGATACAGCACCCACCGCCACCACCACCGACCTTACCACCCGTTAAGGGTCCACCTCCGGAACCTACGCCTACGCCTCCGCAAAATTCAGAGGGCTCGGATGATCTGGTCGCCACATCCACGACTTCTGGAGGCACAAGCAGTACAGGTATGTTACTAATAATTCATGCACGATATGCACAGTAATTCAAAATATTATCAAGACTAGACAAATCTTTTCTCTCATTATCATTTTCTCATTTTTTTTTTATAGAAAGAAATAATTCTAAGTATATAAAATATTGAAACTTTTAATGCACATACAAAATTTCCTTTAATTAGTAAATGCTTTTAATTAGTTTTTTTGTTTTAGTTAAAGTTAATTTTTAATCTTTTAATTTTTAACTTGGTAATAAAAAAGTCGAGGTGCATTTTCTGTTAAGGTGAGATAACTTTTAAGCTCTTTTCATTTAGGATTTATTTCTTGCGAAAAATCTGTCTTTGATGTTGGAAAGAATATTAATCGCGTATCAAAGTAAATCTTAAGTGCTATGAATTATTCGAGCTACATTGCACAACTCGCATCTTAAGATAATTTCCACATTTCACATATCAGATAGATTTCTCGTTAATTCGGTTTTATCAGAGGCAGATTTGCCGTACAGGTAAATGTGCCTCGTCGGGGGAATGTGTCAGATCTCACATTGGCATTAACGATTTTATCGTTACGTAACGTTCAACATAGCATGATTATCTATGCTGGGAAATGCATTAACGAGTGCGCGCGCAGGTGCATATTAAGCTTGCAACGCATAAAAATGGTGCGTGATGGAAAACGTGCAGCTTAACCATTCCGTTCCTCCGTTTTTCCCTGCGTTTTAATTTCTTTTTTTTTTTTTTTTTTTTTTAATTCACGTTTCGCGTTACGTCAACAATTTTTATTTTCCCATTTTTACGTGAACTTTTTACTCGCAGCGAGAGTCACATTGTTGAAATTTACGAAAATTTTCCCGGCGGCGAATGGGATTACATTTGATTTACATTTGAAAGATATTTTTTTCTACATTTCGGCAAAGAATCGCAAATGTGCTGTAAGAGCCCCACGCTACATTGAGATGCAAAAAGCGATGCGCATTAGCCATTTTTAAATCGGACAAAAGCGGCGCGGTCGGTTCAAGATTAATCCGACGCGACCGGAGCATATTTTTCTGCATTTTTTATGCGCGTAAATACTATGTTGCGCATCGCGATATTATAGACATTAGCTTATAATAAGCGACTCTAAAATTATAAAGCGCATTGACGTGAGCGCGAGGCTAATAGCGCGAGAGCACTTACGAATTAATTGGATGGAGATATCAGTGTCTTCGATAGTGTAGCACTTTTGCTACCTTTGAAATAGCCGCTACAGCGAGATCAGTAATATATAGCACGTTCGTAGATAAAGATTGTCTTCACGTTAATGTTATTGATAGCCGGCACTCTGTTCAATGATCATTGAATCAGTATAAGGTATCTGCGAATAATTATCGTTCATCAAACTTATTTTTAGAATTTTTCGAAATCATTAAATATAATCTATTATGTAGAAATCAACGCGGTTACCTTCTTGAGCTTGTCATTTTTTTTAATTACTTCAATTACAAGATTTAAACTTTCTGCGATATTTAAGTTTTTTTGCTTCGGACGACTTAAAATTCGAGACGGAATTATATTTATTAATACAAAGAGAATTTAAAGAGATGAAATACACACATACAATACATTAGAATATATGTGACGCAAAATGATACATAGACTTCTGTTTCAAATCTTATTATGCACAAAGAGAATTTTATTCTTTTCGAATTTACCCCGAAAATCATGGTAATCGTGGGATAATATAATATTGTAAGAATTTTATAAATTTCTCTATATATTTACCACAATAAAAAAATGAATATTTAATATCACAATAAGATATAAAATATCTAATCTCTAGTAAAATTGACTATATTTTTCTTGTGGCAAATATTAATCCGAGAAACTCTTTAGGGTAAATGAAGAGAGCTAATTCTCTCCGCGTGTCGATGATCTAGAGCTCGCTTCATCAAACGTTAATTAGACGGAGAGGATATTCTCTCTTGACGGATAATAATGCGTAATCGTTCCTTAATAGACTCGCAAAGTGATGCTCGCAATTATCGAACGAACAGAGCCGAAGTTCACTCGCCGCGGACGACTATCGGATTGTACGGAACACACGCGAGAATGAATGAACGATCGTTTGTTACAGGTGGCTTTTATAGGACGTATTGCCCCCCGCAGTACTACGGCACGCCGCAATATCCGGATCTGTGTTATCCGCCGACGTATTCTCATCCTCACGCTCATCCGCCGCATTACTACAAATACCCGCCCACCTACAGAAGGTGAGAGAGATTTATTCGCGTTCGACGCCTCGCATGATGACACGGATAAGGAGAGATGCGAGAGGAGCACGTGCTCCGTTTCGTAACGTTGTCTACAATTTGTTTGACAATTTTGAAAATTTCAGCTATTACATTGCGCAATCGTCATTAGCGTTTATTGTTCGCGATACGAAAAGTGGACAGCACTTTATATCCTGTTATTTCAACGTTATCGAATGCGAGATTACGCTATACGCTTTCTTTTCTCGGCGATAACTCTCGTTTCTAGGAATCGATGTTTGTATCAATGTCGATAAATGTTTATAAATTATATATCAAATTGATTACCACAGTTATATATCAAGTTAATTATCAAATAGTAGGCTATCAAGTGTAATAAATGAAGCAAGATCGTGCATCTCGCGTTTAAACATCGTAGTTTCTTGGTGTGAAAGTTGTTTCGCCCACGCGTTTATGATTATGATTAATCGCTCGTTTTCCATTATTAATTTTGATGAAAGAGAGATAATTGGCAGATTGGCGTGATTAAAAAGCGGGGATATATCTTACAAATTTTTAATTTTTTAATACATTTTACTTAAATTACTACGAAATAAAATGATCATACACGCATTAATGTATGATAGCCACCGCGTATTAAATGTGTATATTGGAAATGTACAATTTGGTAATTTCAATCTTGGTGTTGTTATCTTTTTCGATGTCGTCGGAATGTTCAGTAATCTCGATGACAAACGGCTCCGTGACAAAGCGTATCCTGTCACATTGCGATGCATTTAGGTCACAGATGGTGCTAACTTTCTGTAACCATCGTTATCTTGTTTTCGATGAAGAAGTGAAAGTCGCAACTAGAGCGTGGCGAACTTTGATTTTTGTCACGATATTTTAAGTGACCGATACGCATTAATTTTTCAATTATTCAACATTGCAAAAAATATTTTTTTTTCTGTTTCTATGATCGAATCATAAATTAAAGATGTGTTCTATAGATTTCATTAATTATGTGCATTATTTTATTTCGATAGTCTGTTGAACAATAGTATATTGTGTATCAAGTGCGGAAAGTTGACAATTGGTCACGAGTGCGGGAGATGGACGCACGAGTGCGACCACCCCACACGAGTGAACAATTGTCAATCCGCACGTGATACACATACTATTTTGTATTACAAGTGCAGGCAAAGTGGCTTTTGTGCGCGAGGTGGCCGATCGCACGCCGCCATCTTGCGGCGGCACGGTGCGGGAATAGCCGTGTTCAAAGCCATTGCCCACGGCTTCAGCCGCGGCTTATTCACTCACCGCGTCGCCGCTAAATGGCGGCGTGGGAAATCGGCCGCTTTCCGCACAGAAAACACGCACACAAAGTGCCACTTTGCCTGCACGTGTAATACAAAAAATATATTGCGTATATTTGACATTTTCCAACTTTAATAAATTCGATAATTAATGAATGTCAAAAGGAAGCCCTGTCGACCCGAATTCTTTTGACGAATTTAATAAATTCAAATTGTCGCTGGAGCGGTTCTCGAGCGATTCAAGTTACACGGTTTCTAAGACATTCCTCTTCTGGAGGCTCCTCCCTCTCGTCCTTTTGTACACACAATAAGAACGGTGGCCGATAAGGGCGACCGGATGTCGGGAGGGAGAGCATTCGTACATATATACAATACGTTCTTCGATTGCCGGCGCACATTCCATAAAGAGAGGATATCTTTTCAGACAGTACTATGGCTACCAAGAGTCAGGCGGAGGAGGTGGACCGCCACCGGGCAGCGGTGCCGCCGGCGGTGGCCCCGGAGTCGTTGATTATCAACCACCTCCACCACCGCCCGGCGAATATCCGCTGCCACCCTATTACGGGGGCTATCCTCCGCCCCCGCATCCGCCACCGCCACCTCCGAATCCGGCATATCTGCATTCTCAGGGAAGACCTTTCGTAGACCGTAAGTATCCGCTTGTGCTCGCGTATGATCTCTCGCACACCGCGGGGAAAACCTTTCTCTCACTTTTTCTCTCGCTTTCTCTTCCGTTCTTTCATATATCTACATTTTTCTCCAATTTATTTGATAAGGAAAAACTGCTGACAAATCTCCGACTTATGTTAACGAACTGACTTTTTAACAATCTTATCTAAAAAAAAATTAGCGAGTGTGTATAATTCGACAATAATTTTAATGCAAAAGCGTTATTTGTTGTATCTCTTTTTTTTGTCTTTCTTCTGGAAATGTTGTACGTATTTTTGGCTAGAAGAATTTCTTATTTGTTCTTATCGATTTATTATATATAAAAATCACGTTATCGTTATAAAGATTAGCTAATATGTGTTTAGTGTAGGTACGCTATACTGTATAATCGCTAGGTCATTAGAAAGCGTATTCGATAAAGAATTTCTGGAATTTTCCAACTTTTCCTAGAAATTCAGGGATTTTCAATATAGGTATATTCAATTTAAATTAATTCTTAATTTTCTCGTCAAGAAAATGTATTTTTTATCTATTTTTATTCAATGCGTATTATTTAATGTTTAAAATAATTGATTGTCATTTAACAAACATCTTTTTCATTCCTCGCATTAAGCATTATTTTTATTCAGAATATATTTAAAGATTAGAAGTTCCTAAATTTTTAAAGCTTTCCTGCATGTATAATATTATACATATAATTCCTGATGCATCGTAATCTTTTTAGAAAGATGTTTTTGTGCGATTACAGCTAGTACCTTTCGGTTGGTATTCGTGTTTTCGCAAGCGAAATTAGATATTCTGGGCGTTGAAATGCCTAGAACCTTTACACGTGTTTAGTTTTCTACCCGGAAAAACCCACAGGCAAATATATTTCAACAAAGGAATTAAGAAATAGTTTCAAATTTTTAACGGTGACCGTAGAGAGGGCTATCTCTAGAAAAGGTCCGAAAGGGACAATGGCGAGTTTCCAGTCACGTCCGCGCTATTCGACCGAATAGTTGCTTCCACGTGGTCTCTCGTGATTTTGCACGTTCTAGAAAGAAACTTACTGTTTTTTCTTAAATAAATGATAAAATCAGTGAAAAAAAAAGAACATTCCGAAAGATCGCAGTTTTGATCGTCGTGTTTTTGCTTGTTCTTGAGGAATAACATTCGCTGTAAGTCGGAAATATCTTCATGGTCACATTTTTTTTCTCATTCTTAGAGGAAGCACGCCTTATATATATTAAATATCGCGAAGTGATATAATCTATATTATTATCTAATATAATATTCATAATAAGTCAATCGTTATTTTTTAGCAATTTTTATAGCAGTTATTAAAAATTGTTATATTATTAAAAGTGGTGGAAATATTGGAATGAATTATAAGTAAAAATGATTAAAAAAAATTATCGTCATCGTATATAAAACGGTAAACAAATCAATCACTCGCAGATTCAACCATCAAATTTTTTGCTACATTACTACGTTGAGAATAATGCATGGCTGTGAAAATCGGTCGGTTTTTATTTACGACTAAAACTGTTAAATGGCCTTAAAGTGAAGAAGTCTTCTTTTTCAAATATAGCATTTAGATAAATGATAAAAATTGTCGGTTCACGTATTTTGACGGAAAAACAGTATCGCGGTGTTTACTCGGACCTTTTTTATCGCAGCTTTCCAGGGTTGCCCATGCCCGATGCAATCATGTCCAAAAAACGTGGATACTGGGGCCCTTATTGGTAATGGTAAGGGAGCGCCAGTGGTATCGGGGACCGGTCTGTCATTGCCACCCACTTTGGTAGGTCCACCCTCGCCGGCGAGGGGTCTAGCAGGGCTAGCACCCCCTCACGGTGCCAACGCCTGGGATACAGATCGGGTCCAAATCAACACTCATCGCAACCTCAATCAGAACCAACCCCCTTCGGTCCCGCCGTCCCATAATCTGGTCGGCGGACATAGTCGCCTTCAGAATCAAGACTGTAGGAGTAAGGTACGTCGCGATACTACTTTCATTTCATCACGATCAATCATCCCTCTTTTTTTTTGATTTTCGATCAATTCCGAGGCGAGATGAATAAATGAGAAAATATCGTTGAAATATAATAGATGTGTTGGAGATTATATATATATATATATATGTGATGTTTTTTTTATGCGAACATTTTTTAATTATGCTGCAACCATTTTTATTGTTTTTCGTGCTTTTGAATTTTTTATAATAAAATTGTATAATCTAGTTTATTAAATAATTCTTTCATTATGATGCAATTTTAGCGAAAGAAAAATCATCTTCGAAAATAGCGTCATGGATTTTCGAACCACTCGGAATAAATATATCAAATATTGTCTCGCGATATCGTAATATTCATAATTAATATTCATGATATTAATAGTAGATACATTGTTATATTAATAACGACGTTAGACGCTTACAAATTTTACGACGAAATCAAAGTGCGTTTCGCGAGTTTTTCTCAAGAATTCGCGGATTTATTATAGTATGTGGAAATCGGCAAATTTGCTTTTTGCCATCCCCATAGGATGAGAAAAATTGTACAGAAGACACGCTGAGGAAGTGTGGTTGTCAGAACGCGTGCACGTCTACCTGCGAAGTCAAGATGGAAACGCTGTCGCCCACCGAGAAGCTGTCGGTGGCGGCGAACTGTCCCAGCAACAAATACCACCACAATTTTAAGCTGGAGAACAACAATGTAAAATGCGAATCCTGCAGCATGGAGATCGCCGATGGGTTGCCATGCGTCGCCAATTGCAACGTCGTGAAATGCGAGTCGGATTACAAGTGCGGCATCATGAAGTGCGAGCAGTGCATGAAGGAGGATCAGATAGCGATACAAGAGATGGACAAGGACTCCGGCATCGTGTTAGACGACAAGCTCGACGGCGATCCCAACGTGAAGGAGGAGCTGGACGTGGTGGTGATTGACGGCGACGAGAATTGGAAGAAGCCCGATTACGAACCGACCGTGCAAGAGACCGTTGACGATAAGGACGAGGAAGAAGAGGAAGAGGAAGAGGAAGAAGAGGAGGAAGTCACGCAGGGACCGGTCGTGGCCGCGATCGAGGCCGAGCAGCTCAAGTGCCAAAAGGTGACGAAGAGGAAGCTCTCCCTCGACAGCTTATCCGACAGCAGGAAAAAGAGGAAACTGAGCAAGAGAGCTCTGTCGGTCGGCTCGTCTCAGGATTCGACGACAATCACCAACGAACAGTCATCCAATGTCATCGCGCCGATCATCGAGCCGTTGTCGAGTAAAACCGACAGCGTCAAAGCCGAGACGAGCGTTTTGAAAAAGAAGCAAGCGAAAAAAGACGCGGGGCCTCGGGGTCAAAAGCGCAAGGCGGAGGCACCGAGCGCGAACGAGAGCGCGACTAAGAAGGCGAAGAGTGGGAAACAGAGTGTCATGAATTGCTTGAAGCGAACTGCCAGTGATATCTCGATAATGGAGACTATCGACGATGTGATACAACAGAGTCTGCAGATGACGCAGAGAAAGGATCGGAAGAATAAGAATAACTGCGAACGCGTGGAGAAGAAGAAGAAGAACGTCAAAGAGGAATCGTTATTGACGGTGAAGAGGATCGTGAAGAAGATCGATCAGGTGAAGGAGCAGCTTATCGAAAAAGTAACGAAGGCGGTCTCGAAGAGCGGTAATCAAGCCAAAAGTAAAGCGGACGCAAAATCAAAATCCAAAGCTTCGCAGGACGCTAAGGTTAAAGGGAAGAGCAAGGCTAAAATCATCGCGGAATCGAAAATCCAGGATGTGAAATCCAGGGCGACGCAAGAGAAAGCGAGAGATAGCTTGAAGAAGCGCGACACCGCGTCTAAGACCAAAGCGAGCGACGTCAGCGAAGATCCGAAGAAGCCTGCGATAATTAAGAAGAAACGGAAGAGCGCGAAAAAGACAGCGAACGCCAAAAAGTCGGGTTGCAAGCCGGAGAATTCTTTGATCGGAAACGAGAACCTGACGTTAACGAGAAAAACGTTCCTGAAACCGAAGTGGAACAACGGGTGGAGCTGGCAAGGGGAGCCCTTTGAAGCCAAAGTTTATTTAACGGTAAGGATAATTACATCTTGAAATATCTAGTCTGGACATTTCATTCGAACTTGATATCGTTTGAGAAAATAGATCTTGTACTCATCACGTAGCAGTAAGAAGATTAAGAAAAGGGATTAAGAAATAAAACTTTATTGATGATTACATCCGATTTCGATTGTTGTCTTTATCGATATAATTAGAAGAATCTGATTAAAATAGAATTTGCATACAAATTTCATACAGCTACTTTTACCTATAAAAATAGTGTCATCACACGGCGGTTAATTGCCATCGCTACGATTGGCCAGATTCTATAATAGATATATCGGTTTAGATAACAGTTTGTTGATAGAGGGACTAATTGATTTTGTAATGTATCATCCGTAGAACGAAGAAACGGCCATACGGCGATGTTACGTGAGTATGAGTCATGAGAGCGGCGACGTATTGCGACCTCGAGACTGTGTTTTGCTGAAGAGTGGTACGCGGAAGGGCGATTTGCCGTATGTAGCGAAGATCGCCGCGCTCTGGGAGAATCCGGACGACGGTAGGATATGTTCGATCACGAAAACGTTTCCTCTGTCTCTCGATCCGCGGTTAATATCATGTTTGTTTTGCTTTTGTTAGGTGAGATGATGTTCTCGTTATTGTGGTACTACAGACCCGAGCACACAGAGCAGGGTCGAACGCCGCACGATAGCGAGGACGAGGTATTTGCTTCGCGTCATCGGGATGCAAACAGCGTCGCTTGCATAGAAGACAAATGTTACATCTTGACGTTCAACGAGTATTGTCGGTGAGTATCTCTACTGTGGCAATGGACTTAGTTATACGGATACGTTTGACTAATAAATTAGATTTACAAAAGCTTGCAATATTTATTTATTGGTAGTATATGCTATACGGAAAAGCTTTTATTACATGAAAAAGAAAAGAAAAGAAAGGCCGATACAAAAAATAAAACAAGACTACAAATAAAAGTAGTAAAATAAAAAATACAAATAAAAATGATACGTTTGACTAATAAATTAGATTTACAAAAGCTTGCAATATTTATTTATTGGTAGTATATGCTATACGGAAAAGCTTTCATTACATGAAAAAGAAAAGAAAAGACAGGCCGATACAAAAAATAAAACAAGAATACAAATAAAAGTAGTAAAATAAAAATGAGATATTCTTTGACAATCGCAATTTAAGTAATTAAACAAATTTTTCTCGCATATATTGATCGTGAAATAATTAATGTAAAAGCTTTTTTATATACGTTGTTTAAAATCTTAACTCGTAACTTGTAACGAGTTGTCCAAGTTGTATATAAACTTTTATTGTTCGCCAAGTTCACAAAACACTAAAATTGAAAGGCGCGCAACTTCTTATCTCCCTAAACAACAACAGCATTGGCTTATCTACATCAATGCACATGATGATGCTTTTATGCGATAGGTATCGTAAAAACTTACGGAGGATCGAGGAGGGCTTAGAGAATCCTGGCTTGATAGTTCCGCCAGGGGACCAAGCGTATCCACGGGAGAATCGGCAGCCGCCTATACCAGTACCATCGGACATGGTGCTTTTCTGCCGACGTGTTTACGACTATCGTGGGAAGAAGCTCGTGAAGAATCCCGGATGACTCGAATTCTTATAAGATGCAAACCGAGGAAGCTTAGGTCACACAACTGAAACTGGCCGCAGGTCTCCTTTCAAGCATAATTGCGTCGCTGTTGATCGATTTATCTTGATTTCGATGAGGTAATATATGCGATAACGGGATCCGATTCTTTTTGATCGCGATATCTAGATACCGCGAGCAGCTTCTACTCTTTGCACTTTTTGCTACTTGCGTTATATATCTATTTGCTAGCTAGGAGAATAGCCTTTTGCGTGGAGAGGTTGTTTTCGATTCCAAAAATTGTGAGAAAGTGAAAAAAGTAGATGCGCGCGAGTGTTTCAAGAACGATCGGATTTCTTTCCAGTTGTAAACGTGAGAAAATTCTGAAAATTATGTCAATAGAAAGACGATGTAACAAAAAGAACGACAATTACTTTTATCGCCGCTTGTATTAATTCGTCTTTCTATCCTGCTCGTCTGCGATACCACAGAAATCATGATGAATCGTTCATTAATTCTGGTGATAGACGTTGCGTCGAATTCGTGTCGGCGGATCGAACACGAGGAAACGCGCCGAGCGCACTCTTTCGTTTAAGCCGAAACGTGATATATAGATCAATTACGAGTTCCGGAAGAATATTTTTTTTTCCAAGAGTGGCATTATCTGCAATGTTCCTCTCGCAGACGACTGCGAAACCTTCGATCGCGATCGCGCCTGCGTTATATCCGCTGCCCGCCGACACGAATGCCGAGCCGCAACGTGTCTCGATAATGTGTATAAGCTGTTTCTAGGCGAAAGTTAGTGGGATTTGACAATTTTATAGAGAGAATCATATTTTTTGTGAGATAGCATTTTACACAACACTTAAATGGATATTTTTCACATAGGAGGTACAAATGCTGTGCGCTACGCCGTCACGTCAGCGTGCGTCACGGCGCCTTAACTTGAAGGGAACCTACGAACAGTTTCAAAGATAAGGAATCAAAAGCAGGGACGAAATTGCGAAATTATTTAGCACGAACAGCGGGGATATATATATATGTATGTGTAAATTCTCTAATCGAATTCTCGATTGAGTGTTTATGAGCGGTAAAGGTCGAGGGAGGAGATGGGAGAACATCAAGTGCGTGCGACATTACACTTCCATTTTTCCAAAGTGTGTTTGCATCTGTCTCGGGGATGCGACTTCTCCCCGAAACCCGATTTTGCGCACATATGCCATCTTCGTGAACGTAATCATTGTAATGGATAAGATGCATTTTTACGAACAGTGCCGAAGACATAATATTTTTTCAAGATTAGAAATGGCTCGATCCGATCCAAAGAATTAGATTATATTTGCGCGCGGGTGATGGGTCGCCATTTAAAATAATATCTTTAAATATCTTGTTTTAGAACTTTGTCTCCAAGCATGTTGAGAAATCTACTAATGATGTAGGAACGCGTTACGCTGAATCTTATATTCCACTTTCGAGAGAGCAAAAATTATTGATATGGAAAAAAATATTTTTGATGTATTTAGTAACTTGAACGATCGAGAATCTAAACGTTTGTTAAGAGAAAAATCTCGCGGTTTGAGCCATTTCTAAGTATACGTTGCGTCTGTTCTTATCAAGGAGATCCTTGTTTGCTCGTTTTTTAAATAATGCGATGACTCCTTCCAAGAATTCTGAAGACAGACATTTAATCGCCAGGGGCGTTTTTAGTTATTTTAGATTTGTCACGCACCGCGAGTCGCTTCTACGTGCAGTTTTGATCTATTTTTTTTTTTTTTTACGATTACTTTGTCTATTTTGATTCATAATGATGGTTTTTAAGATTCCATAATGAGAAGGATCTAGTTGTATATTATCGCCTATAACTTAGGTATATGTAATCTTGATTTATAAAGAATCCACATTAGCGATTAGTCACTACTTGAGGTAGAGAGAAAGAGAGAAGAGAAAGAAAAAAAGAGAAAGAAAGACAGAGAGAGAGAAAGAAAGAAAGAATGCCAAAAAACAAAACATATTCAGAAGACGTTTTTTGTATACAGATTATTATCGCGACGTAGCAAAATTTATTACAAGATGATCGAGTCAGTAATTATTTCTAATGCAAACTTTTTGAATCGTGTTGATTTTATTTGTTGAGCAGAAGGCGATTTGTTGAAATCATATTATTTAAAATTAATATATTGATAACATTATTATTTAATATCTAATATATTGGATATGTGTAGGTATTAAGTTATTTTTTGCGAGAGAGAATAATAAGGAATTTACAAGTAGAAGAAAACGAGCGCGTGTTTATGTATGTGTGCGTGCGAAGAAGAAAAAAAGTGAGTTAAGAAAGGATAAGAGAGACGCGAGCTCTGTCAGATAAGTGAGCGAGTAAATTGAAAACATGATATACAAAGATAGGGAAAACGAAAAAGAGAGAAGAAAGATAGTAAGGTGGAGACGACGATGGGTTATAAAAGATCATGTTTCGATACCAAAATGGTTTTTAACTTGCAAAATTTTTTTTATTCTTGTTTTTTGCGATTTGATGTGTGTCTCATGATGTATCCGGATAACACGCACACACTCTCGGTGAGATGCGCTCGACATATTTGATATATAAGATATCGTAATTTATATAGTTTTATGTAAACGTCATACATATAACGCGTAAGTTTCTCGGAGAGACATCGTTTCAATCAAGTAATTGCGAAATTTAAAAAAAACACGCCAGATCTTCGCGCAACGCATTTCTGCTTTTTCGTCCATGTTTTACCAAAATCGCGAGATATAGGTGTGGCCTCCTCGTACATTTAAACACGAAAGAAATTCCAAAGAAGCAACGTCGATCCCCACACCAAGGGGAAATGCGAATCGCGACGCTTGTCGGTAATTCACCGGATTTTTGTGTAATCTTTTTATAGATAGTTTTATATTCTTTTTTTAATGCGCAAAAGAAAAAGATGAGATATAAAAGAGAAGGAAAGAATAGAAAAAGACAGAGGGAGGAGATAGTGAAAGTGATAGAGAAGTGATTTTGACGGAAGCGTGAAATATTTGTCAGAGAAATATCGAAAAGGGAGAAAGATGAGGAAAGGGGTGAGTCGAATAATAATAATAATAATAATAATACACGTGCGCGACTGTGTCGTGTCGCCGGAGATGGTTGAAACGAGACAGGCGGACCGCGCGCGCCTGTATAAATCTCGTAACAATACTTAAAAAAGGGGGGATACAAAGAAGAACAGAAAAAGAGATGAGAGAAAGAGGGAGAGGCGCGCGGTTCTATCGAGCCGGGGCGGATGTAATTTTCAGGAACTTACCTATCTAACGACGGTTAACTTGGGAACATTGCACACAATGCATATCCTCTGTTCATTTTACGTAGCCGACGAAACTTTTTCCATCGAGAAGCGAGAGAGCGGCGGATCTACCCTTAGCAGTCGTTCGTAAGGGTTGCGGCGCGGTGGTGCGCGAGGTTCGCGGCCTCCACCCACCCCCTCCCTCCTTGCATCCGCTTTAATCAAAATGCAACAAGTTGTCGGCCGTGCGCGCTCATCGAGATCGGGCGCGGGAGTCGCGCTCGAGGATACTATGTCGATTAATATGCGCGAGCGTGACTACGAATGTGATTTGACTCATATTGAGTATTCGCTCGATTATATTCGTCATGTTAATCCTTAATTGATAAGGTATAAAGGGATCATTATGTATCTATATTATGAAATAAATAATGATGAACGATTATACAAATCTATAATAACTCGAGAGGGAAATATTAAACGCGCACTTTTTGTCACTCCGTACTGCATCTGTAGTGTCAGTGAGATACTGATTTTTCTTTTTCAAATTTATCTATTTTATATATATATATATTTAATGATAATTGTTTTTTTTTTGTTCGTTATTAGAAAAGTCACAGAGAATTTAATCAAGAGAATCATTTTACTTAATTGTTGGCTAATTTAAAGTCAGCCTGGATATAATGCAAGAGCATATTTGCAAAAATATGAAGCATTGCGAGATGTTTTATAAATTTGTGTATTCGTTTGACGGAAGAATTATAATCCGTACAATCCGTTCGTAATATATTAAAACATATTTGTTAAATCGTCGATTACATAGATTACACCATACAGCGAAGGATAAAATTCCAAATGATGCGACAAATTTAATAATTACGATACCATTTAATCTGTATAACAAATCAAAGATGCAAACCACAATTGTTGTTTCCGACAATTTCGATTGAGCATTGTTGTGGCAAAAAAAAAAATATCGCTGAATTTTATAGCATGCGGACCGCGATCGTTGCCCGATCTCGAGAATGCGACCGCTGTTTACGAACGATCAACCCGATGAACTTTCATTGCGCGGCGTTACGCGGTTTGCCGTGCGGATGCTCGATTTCTTCTGTTTTATTTGTCGGAACAGAAGAACCGAAAGAGAGCGAGAGAGAGGGAGAGAAAGAAAGAGTGAGAGAGAGAGAGAGAGATATGCGCGATTGTACTCGTAGGCGATGCCTCGTTCTCGTTTACTGCGAGACTTGCCTCCACTTGCATTGCATATATTTCTTTTGTTTATATAAATGTATTTTGTACATCGCGAAAAAAAAGAGTGTATATATTTTAATTGAGATCATGAATTTTTGGATTAATCTGATTTGGATAAGCACGAAGCTTGGGGATTATTGGTATATATATATGGATTTTTATACTTCAAGATTTAAGTTTAGCAATTGGATGCTAAATGAATATTAAGTGAAGAAATAATTTTGTATAACGTTGCATTTCCTTTCGTTTAGATAATATTATGACATACATTTTTATTTATCTATGTTGTTTCATATATCATTGTTTTTAACGTATATTTATAATTAAACTTTTTCTTTAAGATTATTTCGTAAAATGCTTTGACATACCAAATAAAGTTGTAATGTACTGTAGATGCAAATATATTGCATAATTTTATTGTTTTGCTTGGAATAACGATTATTAAGCTTAAAATATTGCTCATGTATTTGTATACAAAACACACAGATTTTAGTTTATCATAAATTGTTTTCCAAAGAATAAATCAATTAAATTAAATAATGCTTTGTGTGATCTTTTAGAAGATCGCATATTTAAATAAATATAGTTCTCCGCTCGCAGTCGTCAATTAAATGGCAAAAATAAAAGGGCAAAAATGCTTTACCATCTCTTTAAGAAATTCTCGTTTAAGAAAATGTTATTTACGTATTAATTGTAAGATAAGTTTCTTGCTTGTATAAGTACGCGATTGATTTTTCATTGTAACGAATACTGCTACGCAGATTCGTTGGTAGAATAATTATACTTATCTCTCCCTGTTTCAATTATCGTGTGACATGTATGGGAAAAATGCGCAAGGCTCGCAGATAGCTTGCGTCTTTGGGAGAAGCGAGGCACGTCTAAAAATTGCATGCTTGTAAATCATTGGAGAGCGTCTTGAGTCGAGAAACTGTTGAGACAGAAAAATAAACAAGAAGTCTAATTTATACCAAGTGTCTTACTAAAGTATCTATTCCGATTATACCAATAAATGGATGGATACGGTTTCGCGTTATGGAGACAGATGTGTCAAGTATTAGTGTTAATTGTACGAACTTCTGGAAGTCGCGAAACACGTTCGAAAACATCAATTTTCGAAAATCTATATCTATTTATATTGTCATTATTAATTAAGAAAAAAAAGGAAGATTGTGTCTCCCTAAATATGATAAAGAATTTACTCCTATTCATATACGACCCTTATATCGCGAAAAAGCCAAAGTACTTTCAATTAATTTATTTCCGTCAAATATTTGCGATAATGTGTTATCCTTTAATTTAAGAAATCAGATGGATTACAAGGATAAAATATTCCTGTTTTGCCTTGAGAGAAAGAGAGATTGTTTGATTCTTATTTAATTGTATGTAATTTTATTTTAGAACCGCTATATCTACATATAATACATTTATGTTAAGAATTTCAGAATTTTTTATCGAGATTTTTATCGAGATAGCGGATTAACGATGTAAATCTTTTTTTTTCTTTGCGAGTCTATTCCATATTCAGAGATTTTGGGAATTAGACGAAAGACGTATAAACATTTTTCGTGATCAAGAATAATCCTGTTCCTTTTACTTTAACGCGCTAAAAAAAATTCCGCGGCGTCAAATGTTTTCTCGAAATTAGTATCGATTAGAGATCGCTCGTTTGAACAAATGCGAACGGCAAACTGAACGGCAACGCCACACACGAGCATACAAATACAATAAAAAGAAAGAAAGAGGTATTATTTCTACACGAGAGCCGAGAGATAAAGGTATATAAATAATATATATATGACAAAGTATATATATATATAAATATATATATATATATATTTAGGTAATTAGAATAAAAAATATATATGTATATGATTGAGAGAAAATGAATAATTATAAATACGGCATTCACACATACATCAAACACACACACACACATACACATACGAAAGCTCTTGCATAACAAAATGTACAAACACACACACACTGACATGCATACAATTTACACGTACGGTACAGAGCAATACGTGATACTTCTGTGGAGGACAGGGAACAAGAAGATAATACAAGTGCCAGAGAGCATTCCTAGGAAACTCTTTTTACTGTCGATCGTTTTACTGTCTGTGGTTTTTTTTTTCTTTCTATCCTCGAAACGGATGTGCATCTATTAGCGAATAAATCGCCTCGCGATCCATAGGATCGTTCCTAAGCTCCGTGCTGTCTGTATCTATAATTAATGCGAAGCGACACGACACGATTCGTAGACATAATTAGCACGTTTCTCCGAGTGGAGTTCGCGATGGTGTCAAGCTTATTGGGAAGAAACGCGTTCTCTATCCAGATATTAATCGCTTTCGTTCACCATAGAGAAATCTAAATAGTGTGCTTAAATAAATCGAAGATGACGTTTGCTTCGAGATTTTTATTGGCGATAAAACAACTGGTGCAAAAATTCGCAGATTGAAAGAAAAATGTGAAAGCTTCGCTTTTAATTGAAATAATCTAAGTAGATGATGCTTTATATGAAGTTGCTAATTAAAAGGGAAACTTTTATGGATCGCAAATGTTATTATACGTAAATTGCATCTTTCTCTTGATATCATGATCCAATTAATGCTGCAGTGTATATATATATATATATATAATATTCGAGTATAAAATAATTAAAATAAGTATCTTATAAAAATCGCGTGAAATTAATATTTTGAAAATTAATCAAAATTAATTTTTTTCGAATGTAAATAACGCTTCACGCGGCTATAAAATATTGTAAATTGCAACGGTTTCATTCTTCACATATATAAGTATAGTGTCACGTCTGATTTAGTCGAGATTGAACGACGAGTGAGAGTAATCGCGTTTATATCCAAATAACTTGACACTCTTCGCGCATTCTTGCTCCCGCGGACGAGAACTAATTTATAACGCAAAACTCACCCATCGCGTACATACGATAAAAAAATGCCTCCTCTGTGGAAGTTTCGGTGATTCCCACTGTTGTGTTTAGTCGTTGCGCGATCACTCACGCGTTTCTCCCACATAACAGCGAAACACACAAAAAAAAAAACACATTTCACCGGCAGTCGAGTGCTTCCTCGAGGTGTCACGCGTTACTTTCAACGGTATATTTCGTACAAATACTATACTACTTTTAGACGTAATTTGTAAGCTTCGTAGAATGAAAAAAAATGAAAACTGGGAATTAAGTGACGCGAACGGATCGCGGCGTGGACGAGCACGCATGTGAAAAGCGATGACAATTCGCTCCTCTCTCGCTTTTTCTTTCGATAATGAAAGAAAAGAAAAAAAAATATATATATATATATCGTTATCATTATTACCGCGCACGTAATGCCTCCGCGTATTCGAGTTTTTCCTTTTCTTTATCGCGCGTTCGCTCGTCCCCGCTGGGTATCCGTATTTTAGAACCGCAATGTGTTTTTCACAGACAACCGACGTAATTATCTCGCGACCAAGCGCAGAAACCGTGAACGACGTGGTGGGCGCACGTCGTTGTCTTGTAACATTGTAAATTACTATAAAATGGCGAACGTTTAATAAATTATTTGATCAAAATTGTCGGCCGTTTCTTTGTTGCGCCCAAGTTCCTTTTATTCTTTACTAAAGAGCGCAAATAAAACAATACTTCCTTATCCCGATAATTTTTTCCAAATTTTTGTTCTAGTGAAAATGTCGAGAAATTAAATCTATCTTTTGTGGGATAAAATTATTTACGCATCCTGAGAATATTTTGAAAAAAAAATGGTTTCCTTTCAATTATATTATTTATGCAATGTGTTTTTCACAGACAACCGACGTAAAACAATACTTCCTTATCCCGATAATTTTTTCCAAATTTTTGTTCTAGTGAAAATGTCGAAAAATTAAATCTATCTTTTGTGGGATAAAATTATTTACACATCCTGAGAATATTTTGAAAAAAAAAATGGTTTCCTTTCAATTACATTATTTATATCAATTGCCATCTTTAATATGTAATAGAATCGAGCTGAAGAAGACACAAGATTTGTCATTTCATGAAGTGACATAATCGACATATTCATCGCAGATTAATCATATAATAAAAATTGCAAAAATATATCAACTTGAAAGTGCGAAACATTTTAATATATTATATCTGAATACCTCGTCTAGAGTTTAAGACTCATTCAACAAGATGTTTGATAATTCGATCTCCCTCGATATACATATCTCAAAAATGATAAAGCTAGATTGTCTAGAAGGCCCGCGGTGTGTGCATCATCTTTTTATTAGCTTCGACGTTATGAGCATAAATTAGCTCGGCCTAAAAAAAAGGGTTCGAGGAACATTCGCATGTAGCCCGCGTTCGGGCGTCATAAATTGTTCGACTTTACATGGGGTTAATCCTAGAATCATGAATATCGGCACGAACCGCGCTCGTTCCCGAGGATTACGCAAGATGACTCGGCCCAGCTATAGGACACGGTTTCAGGAAAGCCGCCGATCGTGCGTCACTCGGGAGGGAAAAAAGGAGCAATCGTATACATACGTTAATCAAGCGAGGAAGATGAATCGTTCACCTTCCGCTACGTTCCTTCGGAATTTCCGTGGGAACTCGCGCAAGGAATTCACGAATCTCTATTGTTCCTGTGTCCCGTTCTTAAGCTTCGTCGGATACTTCAGAAGAGTATTGTTTCCATCATTAATTATTCCGAAAATATTGAAATGTCAAACATAACAAAGCCTCGACATTTTTATTGATTAAAAAGGTCGATTGCTCATCACCGAAGATGATGCAGATTACTTTCTGTCAGAGAAATAAATTCATTAAAAAAGGGGAACAAGATTAGATTTGTTCTATACAATATTCTTGAAATCGAATTTCGTGAAACCCTCAAGTCATTCTTGTCGAGCGTGTCTTTCGAGAGTATAAGACTCTCCATTCACGAAATAAATTCTGAAAGATGGGAAGAGAGATTGTGCAAGATATCTTTCGCAGTGGCCTTTTTTATTACGGACGTGGATCCATCGGGTCGACCATTATCCACGGTCGGAGCGACACACACGACTTCCGCGCAACGGAAGCGACATGAAAGGGTCGAGAGCAGAAACGGAAGGAGCCCGTAAGAATCCCTGATCTCGTAGGGCGAGAAGAGGATATGTCGCCATCGGTCAGCGGCGTCGGCGCGATAGCGTTTTCAACTTTTAATCCGCGCGAGGCCTATAAGCTGTAAAGCCCGGACGTCATCACGGCCGTTTCGTGCCGATCTAGCCGCTCGTTCAGATTACATTAATTCGATTAATGGATGCCGTCCATCGCCCACGTTCGTCGTCCGCCTTCTCCCAGCTTCGACGGAAGACACATCATTCCGAGAGAGAGAGAGAGAGAGAGAGAGAGAGAGGATGTTTCAAGATAGATAACAATGCGAGGTTTGACAAATGCAAACTTGATTAGATTTATTAATTAACGTACATATTAACTCTCTCTCCATATTGCGTTAATTGTTAATTGTGTTATTATTATTCAATTATATTATATTGACGTTCGTAACATTGATTGTAATCAATTCATATTTGTAATATAATGTAATTGAATTAGCTGTGTGAGAAGAAGATTTAACGTATGATACAAGGAGAGAATTTTCTCGTAGAATTTACCCTAAAATCGTGAAAAAATATGTTAATGTGTATATAGTACAATTAAAACATATGTTATATCTTATTGTGATAGATATTAATATTTTCATGATTGTAAACAAAAAAGGGCTATAAGAGCTATTAAACAAAATGCAGTTGTCAGATGATATTAATAAAATTCAAAAATTTAAAACGAGAAAATAAATACATAAGTGTTGCGTTATGTTTCAACGACATAAATAAACATTTTTTATGCGAACGTTTCGGCTGACATTTCAAGCCTTCTTCAGCGCAATACAAATATTTTAATTATAAATTGAATTTCAATATTAAACATTATAAAAACGGTAATTAACCGAGCTAATTACTATTTTTAATTAATATTTTCATTGTGGTAAATATTAATCAGAGAAACTGTTATAAAATTCTTCCAATACCACGAATATCGTGATTTTTAGGATAAATTCTAAAAAAAAATTCTCTCTATGTATAATTGCATTAGCTGATTTGAGGAAATGTGCGTGAAGGAGAGAGAGTATATCATGAATACGAGGGGTTGAAAAAAATTGTACAAGATTAATTATAACATATCGATATTAATATTTGATATTAATTTCCTAAGGCTCTAACTTTCTTTATAATAACTGCGTAGTTATAAATCGAGTAAGGAAAAGGGAGGGTGCATTTAATCATTGAGTGCACCGGGTCACACTCGCTTTGATGCACGCAAGTAGGCGGGGTGATAACTTTTTATCTAATTTACGACACGTTTATCGATACCGTGACTTCCAAGACTTTCAATCTGGTGCCCTTTGCTAGTTTCACGGGTTTCGATCGTTGTAATGAATAGTTAATGGCCACTATATAGCAGTGGTATTTTGAACAGTTGCGGAAATATTAATATTGTTTGTACGTGGGAGTCGAGTTTAGACCATAACTTTGTACAGAGTGATTCGTAATTAATACATGTAAAGTTAAATGCAAACTATTATTAGACTTTAACCGCAAATCATCGATACGAAGATAATTATTTCTCGCCGTTGGATACTATTAATTTGAAATTAATTAAATATTAAACTATATTGTTATTTGCATTCTTAATTTGCGAAAAATTGATCTTCGTATTAGCATGAGTAGTGTTCAAATTAAAATTCAAGAAAAAAATTAAAAAGTATTGAAAAACGCAGTTAAGTTATAAAACTTTAATTTTGAACATTTAAACTCAAGAGCATTTTATTTTCTGAAAGTTTTCACTTAAGGTAAATTAGCAACACATATAAAAGTTGCAAGAGAAGAAAATAGATTCAAAGAGATATCTATTATTAAAAAATCCGACTCGAATAATTTGAGGCAACCTGTACAGTAACATATATACTTTAAAGAATGGAGATCTCATCGACTGCGTAATGAATAATTGATGAGAGAGACGATAATCCCAGAGTCCGCAAAAATCTGTCAGTTCATTTATGGTCGAGTTAAATGAATAATTGATCGGAAGGGTCGTATTACGAGTCTAAAATTGCATTTATCGTTTTCATAAAATATAATAGTAGCAGAATATAATTAATATTGAGTGATATTTTTATTTTGGGATATTGTGTACCTATGACAAACTCATGCAAGTTTTCTCAACAACATACACTGAAAAAAATTTGTTAACTTGATTAAACCTTTCAATTAAATATCGTTTTGTTAATTGAACATATAAAAATATTTAAATTAAATATAGCATTAAATCTATATAACAAAACGTATATTTGATACGTATATTTAAGTACTAATATATGTTCAATTAATAAAATAGTAATTTAGTTGAAAAATTTAGTCAAGTTAACAAATTTTTTTTCAGTGATAGACGATTATTAGAGCAAAAATATTGCTTCGAGTGTGTTTTTTTATGAGAAGCACACATTTTTTATGAGGAGATATAGTAGAGAAAATTGTATGAAAACTGATCTATAATATATAATTTATATATGTATATAAAGTAACGTAGTTATAAATCAATATAAATAACAATGCATCTTGTAAGAAAATTGTCAAGTGTTCGGATCGAAGATGCAAATCTCCTCTGTCCAGATATAATATTATTCAAAATTATTATTTCACCGTCGCGAAATGATTGTTCGCGTGCAAGGATGTTCATACATATCCTAAATAATTCTTTCCGATTTTCGGCATTGAATACAAGGTCTGAAGAAGGAACGCGTTTAACGCGACGAGGTAGCGCTTGTGAAAAGCATTCCAGCCACCACCTGCGTCGAACGCCGTAATTATGTTTCTTGTGCTCTGGGTACTTTGGAATCTACATTTGGACACTTCGCCCTACCCGGGGGATGGGCTTTCGGTACATAAATTGCCTTCTGTCAGACTGCGGGGCGCCCTTAAACGGTGGCCCCGCATTTTCACGCGTCTTTCATCTTGAGGAAGCTGTATTACACCGACACTTTGGACTTCACTTTTTAACGTTGCATACATTTTAATAATATGCAATACATTTGTTAAGTAACTCAATATACATTGTTGAATTTTATTCTAATCTTATTTTAATTTATGAATCTTTATTCGTCTCCATTAAATTATAAAATTCTTGAAGTAAGATTCATTATATTAACTCTTATGTTAATTAATTTTATTTGATTTTGATAAGTTATAATGAACTCATGTTAATTCATGTCATACATTTGAATTGCAAATTTGATAGTATTTTTAAACAAATAGCTTCTCATATATTCATGACTAATATCATATATAAATATTAATTAACAAATGTGACACTAGGCTATCTCTTTAGCAAAAAAAGCATCCCTAATAGAAAGGAGATTGCTCTGAAAGATTCGAGGAGAAAAAAATGATAACGAAGCTCAGATCAACCTTTAGACTTACCGGAGAGGGAGATCAGCTGACTTAATTTTGCCTGGACCTATATTTATCGTATCCGATACCAGATTTCGAGCTGTCAAGTTACACGGACGAGCCAACGAGGTCTTTCCACATCGAGCTCCAACAGGAGTTTGCGTGACGGCAACAGACGTTCTCTCTCTTTCCCTCATCTTCCCTTCTTTCTTCTTTTCTGCATTTTGCTCCGGCTTTTTTTTCCTCAATCACCAATTCTCGACGCCGCCGACCAATGGAGCGGCAGAAAACTCGCCGCGCGCAGCTGGACCAGTTTTCTCTCTCTTTCTTTTTTTCCCTCGACGAAATCGACGGAAGAGGATGCCCACCTCGCCCGCAGGGAGATCACGGTGAAATAATTCGCGGATAAATTCCTCTCGTAACATGGGACGGAGAAAGCCGAGCGTTATTCGTTACGATCCGCTCGCGGCGATCGATTCCTTGAATGAACATGTCTCATTGACGAACATAGTTCGATTCCTCGATCGATTGCTTCATCGATATATCGATCTCGCGAATCCGCTCTTGAATATTTGCAGTGATATATCCATATCCCATGACGTGTATTCGAGCAACAAAACTGAAATGAAATATCAAAGATATTCTTATCAGAGATATTGTAATTTACTATTTTCAATTTTAAAGAACAAAACTTACAATTCTTTTGAGACTTGGAAATAAAAATATTCAGTCACGAAGAAGGATCAATTAAATTTTCCTAGTTGAGTATTTATTTTATTATTCACTTTCTCTGTCTTAATTGTAAGATCCCCCCATTTAGATTTTATGACGTTATATGTATAATATAATCTTCATGGCAGTGATAAGAATTGTATTTGGGCACATTTTTGCATATAATTCAAATTATAATCTAGAAAAACAAATCACGCGCGTTAATTAGAGTCAGTTAATCAAAACGTTACCCCAATGAAGGCGATATTCAGTGATACAGTGTATTAACGGAAACGGATTATATTGAGCAATATTATGCTCGAGTACATATATATAGAGGGACGATGATTGAACGGCCAAAGACAAACTAACGCACATATATAGTATGTATATATGTATTATCCACTATGCACTATACATTACGCAAAGACGGTATGTAGAGGGAATTGTGATGTTACATAATATTACACATATCATATAATATATTCATGCATGTAAATCTCCCTCTTGTGACAGAAAATTATCGTACAACGTTTCGAAAGACGAATCATCATAAAATCTAAATTGGATGTGAACACGGATCACTTTTGATCTGATAAAGAGTAAAGAGATATGTAGATGTATATTTTCTGACACTATTATTTTTTTAAGTAATGCGATCTTATTAAAAAAAATTTCTTATACATTTTATTGTAACTTATTAAAATCTCGAAAAAGAATATTATAATATAAGTTTTTTCTTCTTATAAGCTTAAATCTCTCAGACGTCATTTTCGAATATTTTTCTACGTAAAAATATCTTTCTATCTTATATACAAATAATCCGAATATTTTATTTATAGAACGTTAGTATATTATCTATCATCCTTACAGGGAGAGAATTTTTCGTTATATTTTATCGCAAAATTTACTACAATATTTATCATGTTTGGTAATAAGCCGAAAATTACCATGCTGCATGCATATTAAAATTATCATGAGCGATTAAGCTGGAAAATATTATGCTGCTGTTTTAAAATTTTAATAAAATATTTTGTTTTTGTGTCACTTTTTAAAAATTGATATATTTTTAAATTATTGAAATTTTACTCTGTATGTATTTTAGTAAAATTAATCACATATTTATATCTTGTTGTGATAGATATCAACACTGAAAAAAAAATGTTGTTGGATTAACAAAAATTCTGTTCGAAAATGGACAAAACGGAATTCTGGTTGAATCTACCAGAATTCCTTTTAATACAACAAATATCTTGTTTGCACTAATAAACTGATTTGTTGTACAAACAAGATGCTTGTTGCATTAAAAGGAATTCTGGTAGATGCTTGTTGCATTAAAAGGAATTCTGGTAGATTCAACCAGTAATTCCGTTTCGTTCATTTTCGAACAGAATTTTTGTTAATCTAACATTTTTTTCCAGTGAATATTTTAATCAAAAAAACTCTTATAAAATTCTTACCATATTGTCCCACGATAGCCATAACTTTTCAGGATAAATTCTAAAAAAAAAATTCTTTGTGTGAATTAGAGCCACGTGAAAACCGGAAGTAAGGAGATCTGAACAAAATTGCAGGAGCCAAGAAATTAACAGGTTTAAGGTACTTTTCGTACGCAGCATGCTGTATGCAGCATATTTCTTTGTTCCTTTATTATTTCAAGATTCAAATAACGATTTTTGCTTCTATATTCTCATAAGAATCTATTTTATTCTTAAAATCCATCATTTAACTAACATCCCAGACAGCACCAAATCCAAAATCGACGCATAAGATATCTTTAAAATATGTTTAAGATGTCTTTCGGATATTACATCATAATATTTCTTAAAGCTGTCTTAAAGATTTCTTAATGATATCTTATGCGCCAATTTTGGGCTTGGTGCTGTCTGGGATAATAATAATAGTATATTGTGTATCAAGTGCGGAAAGTTGACAATTGGTCACGAGTGAACAATTGTCAATCCGCACGTGATACACATACTATTTTGTATTACAAGTGCAGGCAAAGTGGCTTTGTGCGCGAGGTGGCCGATCGCACGCCGCCATCTAGCGGCGGCACGGTGCGGGAATAGCCGTGTTCAAAGTCATTGTCCACAACTGAAGCCGTGGGCAATGCTTTGCCCACGGCTTATTCACTCACCGCGTCGCCGCTAGATGGCGGCGTGGGAAATCGGCCGCTTTCCGCACAGAAAACACGCACACAAAGTGCCACTTTGCCTGCACGTGTAATACAATAATAATTAGAATCAACTAGTTGTGCGTGTTCTTCTGCTTTGCTGCCTCTGCTGTCCATTCAATCGAACTTCCCCAATAGCAACAAACTGCTGCATGCTGCACATGGTACTTGTAAAGTCGTCGAAACGGAGGGAAAAGTAAGAAAAGTCAAATGCGTGTCGCACCGACCTTTCCATCTCTTTCGAGGAAAGCATCCTCGGGGTCAGTTGACCGACTCCGGTCCATGGTAGCGCACGCAGCATCCCTCCGGCGCGCTTTGAATCCGTGGACCGCATCTCGCGTGTGGGGGCCGCGAGAGCGTGCCGTCCGATTGGCCCGCGCGCGCGAGCGAGCGAGAGCGACTGACGGAGCCGAGAGGGACGGCGCGAGAACAAGGGGGCCGAAGAGGAAGGGAGGGGGCACGCATCGGCGGGGTGGGGAAACCCGCGAGCGGAGAGGGACAGTTCGGATGCGCATCGTCTGAGAACGGCGTTTCAGTTAGCGGCGAGCCGCTGTCGAGATTAGGGTCGTTTTTGTCCTCGGTTCCGATTCTCTTCCCCTTTTCGCGCCAGTTATCGAGTTCGTCCGCCGATCGCGTTCGAGGAAATCGAGGTCCGCGTCTCCGCGGAACTCTCCTCGAGAGCGAGAGGGAAAAAAAAAAAAAACTCTTTCGGAGTAGTGAATGAAACGGTTTCCCTTTTCCGGAACGGTATCTGGTTTCAGTGCGTGGAACAGTGCGTTTCTTTTTTCGTGAGGATATATCGATTCGTCGCGATATTGTTTTACGTTTTTAGAATAGTACCGATATAATGTGAACCGCTGTGAGTGTGTGAAAAATTTCAAAGGAGAAAAAAAGGCGAGAGAGAGAGACGAACGACAGAGAAATTAAACCCGCTCCAGTTTCAACATGTCGCGGAGTCTAGCTTAAGACCCGTCGCATCTCGGTCTCTCTTACCTCGGAGGGAAAAGTCCAAGCGAGCGAGAAAGAGAGAGAGACAGAAAGAGAGGTGAAAGAACATAGTCCTCTTAGACGAAGGAGTCTGTGAAAAAAAAAAAAAAAAAAAAAAAAACCAATGATGTCGAAACTTGAACAAAGTCCGCGTTCACTCTTCCTCGGGACGCTCCTCCTCGGGCAGCTGCTGCTGACGGTCCACGGCGAGATCTACGCGAAGATGTTCTCCAGCCAGCAGAACCCGAGCGACCCGTGCTACGACGAGGACCGGCCGCGCCGCTGCATCCCGGACTTCGTGAACGCCGCGTTCGGGGCCACCGTCGAGGCCTCGTCCACGTGCGGCACCGGGGGACCCACTCGCTACTGCGACGTCACCGACGAGCCCGGCGGCACCGGCGGGATCGGGCACTGCCACGTGTGCGATGACAGCACGCCCCGACGTCGCTTTCCCGCGAGTTACCTGACAGATCTCAACAATCCGAACAACGTGACCTGCTGGCGCAGCGAGCCGCTCGTGAGCTCGCAGAGCTTCTCGGCTCCGCCCGACAACGTCACCCTGACACTCTCCCTCGGGAAGAAGTACGAGCTGACGTACGTCAGCCTGCAGTTCTGTCCGCGCGCCGCGAAGCCGGACTCGATCGCGATCTACAAGTCCATGGATTACGGCAAGACCTGGCAGCCGTTCCAATTCTACTCGTCCCAGTGTCGGCGGGTCTACGGGAGACCGAATCGCGCCACCATCACCAAGTCGAACGAGCAAGAAGCCCGTTGCACCGATAGTCACCGTTATACAGGCGGGGACGGCCTCGGACCGGTCGGCAGGATCGCTTTCAGCACCCTCGAGGGTCGACCGTCCGCCGCCGATTTTGACAACTCGCCGGTTCTCCAGGACTGGGTGACCGCGACCGACATCCGGGTGGTGTTCAACCGGCTGCACATGCCGCAACAGCCGGACCAGATGACGCACAACGGCGCGGAGGACCATCACGTCGCGGCGATCGGCCTCGAGGAGCTGACGAAGCGGGAGCGCGAGCGCGAGGAGCAGCGTCTCAAGAGCCAGAAGAACGCGATCCTGCTGCACGCGGACCCCCTGGTCACGGCCTTGCCGTCCGTCCACCAGGTCCTCGCGCCCCAGGAGATGCAGTCGAACGACGCGATCGACCCCGACGCGGTCCGCGACATGGGCTTCGTCCCGATCACCGTCACCACGAGCACGACGCCGACCCCGGGCGGTCTAGGTCCGGCGTCCGCCACCATGGCCCATCATTACGCGGTCTCGGACTTCGCCGTGGGCGGCAGGTGCAAGTGCAACGGCCACGCGGCCCGCTGCATCCCCGGCAAGGACGGCGAGGTCGTCTGCGAGTGCAGGCACAACACCGCCGGCAGGGACTGCGAGCGCTGCCGGCCCTTCCACTTCGACCGACCCTGGGCCAGGGCCACCGCCAGGGACGCCAACGAGTGCAAAGGTTGGTGGGACCATTTTCGTTCAGCTTGCGGCGGAGTGCGATTGGAGCAAAGTGATGTAGAAGCGCGCGTACGAACGAACTTGGAATTTTGTTTATATAAATATACTTGTCGGAGAGAGAAATATTAGGAATATAAATATGATGTTTTTTTTTTTAAATCGGCCAACAGAGCCAAAGCACGAAGAATTAATTATTCGGATAATTGTATCTCTTGGTTTGAGATCACTAAGTTCCATATATAAATTAATCTTGAAACTTACATATGGAGCGGGAACTGTTTCGGATCTATATTTTTCGCGCCTATTTCTCCATATGTAAGTTTCGAGATTAATTTATATATGGAACTTAGTGATCTCAAACCAAGAGATACAGTTCCGAATAATTAATTTTTCGTGCTTTGGCTCTGTTGGCCGATTTAAAAAAAAAAAAATATCATATAAATATACTTGGCCTGAAAAGCTATAGGAGTGTCCCAGAACTGGCGGAAAAGTCTTTAATGGCAGATTCCTCGTATCATGTGGAGACGATTTTGCCTTACAATTAGTGAAAACGTTGAGAGAGGCCATCGTTTTTAGCATGTTCCCCATTTTTGTTATTATGTATCTTTAGAACTCTCGAAATTTCTTCGAGTGGAATCTCATTCTTTTGGAGTGAAATTCCACTCTTTCGAAATGAGATTCTACTGTTTTGGTTCAGCAAACTCTATCTAAAATTATAACTAAAGAATGTAGTTCTGTTAATATTTTATTTCCACAAGGCTTAATTTCCAAAAAAGCCTTTATTTTCATCCGCTTATATATAATTCCAAAATTATTGGTGTCTCGACATTTTCGCTGAAAAAAAATCGTCTCCGAATGGTACCAGGAATCTGTCATTAAAAACTTTTCCGCCAGTTCTAGGACACCCTGTATATTTATTAAAAAATTTTATAATCGTGCAATAATATTCTTTTGTAATGTCTCTATATTTTATATTAATTTATTAAATATTGAACAATTGAAAGATTAAACGATTAGTGAGATGCACATAAAAATATCGTGGGATTATATCAATGTGCATAGAAAGAAATCTTGATGGAAAGATTTATTAAACAACTTGATTATATTTGTCGATATTATTGATGTTTTGACGATTTAAATTGCACTGAACTAAAATTTGATAACGCTATTATGAATTAATTGAAATGACATGATATTCCTGTATGCAGAGAGAATTTTCTCTTTGAATTTACCCTGAAAATTATAGTATATAATCATGGGACAATGGTACTAAAAGAATTTTATAAAAGTTTCTCTGATTAATATTTAACACAATTAAAAATATATATTTCCTACAATAGAATATAAAAAATATGTTTGATTGCACACATTAATATTTTTTATTATGGTAAATATTAATCAAAAAGCTTTTATAAAATTCTTCCAATACCATATGATCCTACAATTACCATAATTTTCGGAGTAAATTCTAAGAGAATTAGGTAATTTAGTAAATTATTAAATCGAACAATTGAACAATTGAAAGATTAAATGATTGATGAGATTTTGTATATAAAAAAATCATGCAATACTATCAATATGCATAGAAAGAATAACTTGATTATATTTTTCGATATCATTGATGTTTTGACAATTTTAATTGCGTTGAACTAAAATTTTTGATAACGCCATTATGAATGAATTGACATGGCAAGGTATTTTTGTATAGTATAAATCTTTTTGCCACGCAAAAAGCGAATGGATATTTTCACTTATATTCATAAATTACTTTGCTAAAATGCATCGGTTAATTCCTCCTCGCATAATAGGCCCTAAATAGTTGAACGCGCTCAAATACTGATAATTATTCAAACTGCAGGACGCGCAATTTGATTTTGTGGTGTAAACTTGTGCGCTTAGGAAAGTGCATTTTCGAAACGTTAGAGAATAGAGGTACATAGGTTTTGATAGTTGCGTGTGAGGGATAACAAGACAGTTGAGTTGCACATTTATGTTATACACACACACACACACATATATATATATATATATATATATATATATAATATAAAATATGCATACGCAAGTGTCTCGCGAATGTTCCGAGAATAAATGATAGATTTATCAATGTTCCCCTTTTGTTATATATTGTTTCATGATTGACAATGAATCGTAACATTATTGTGTTATCACAGATATATATATAATATTAATAGTTAAATATACATATATTATATAAAATCATGATAATACGAATTTTCACAATTTTAATAATTAATTTAATGATTATTAATCTAAGTAATTATATATTTTCCGAAATTAATAAGTAATATAATTAATAGCATGCTTTTTTTCAATGTCATCATATATTCATACGTACTCATACAGTATATATTATATTGTGAGAGAAGAAATGAAATGATGCAAATTTATAAATTAGCACATTTATATTTATAATATAAATTTTAATGCATAAAATAATATTATCGTATAACAATTAACTTGAAATAATTGGCAACCTTTTGCAAATATAAAGTTCAATGGATTCGTTTTTAATGTCAAGGATATTTCGATACGGAATTAGATCGATGATGGCTGATCAAATGGGGAATCGCCAGATGCGATAGCTTGTAGCAAGCTAAACATCTGGACGCTGTTTACGAGTGCAAAATTAAATGGACGTATAGATGCAGCTAGCTTTGAGGCTGGCTCCTTTGTAACTTCCGACCAATGTATTACTTTTCACGTAGCTGCAAGAGGGAGGGAAAATGCAATGCATATTAAACCGTTCTATCACTATACGTATCTATCACTTTACGATCGCAGTAAATTTAACGGTAATTAATTTTTTGCCTTTTTTTTCGGCGGACAGAGAATCTCGTTCTATTTTCATCAAGTCTCATTCGTCGCCATTTTTCTGTAATTCCGTCCTGTAAAAAGCGTGATCTTTGTTCCGTGATATCCCGATATTGCATTTCTGATTTTACAAGCTCTCTCGCGCGCGGTATAATTAATTAAATTTTTTTACCATATAAGCGAAAATCCTCACAAAACCGACATATATTTCCCTCCATTACACTATATGCTGGATATTAATTTTCAAATTCTTTTCCCGTTCATTTATTACAATGGTTCGAAGCCTGGCTACATTCTTGCCTATTTCAACGGATATACTACTTAATCATATTTTTTCTTTATCGAATTCTTTGATAAGTTTGCACTCAAGTCTTGCTAAAAGAAAACTTGACGTATAGAAAAACAAAATTTGCATTTATATAAATTTTACTATATTTTTAGGTAAGATATCCATCAGATCAAAAATGAAAGAAATATACGAAACGAGTGGCAATTTGTGGAATCTTGTAATTTTATAATTCATATAGAAAACTTGATAAAATTTCGTTATATACGATCTCTCTTTCTTTCTCCCTTTCCGTTTATCCCTCTAAATCTGTATATCTTAGCTCTTTGTCGACTTAAGCAGGCGCATCAATTCGCGCTTCTTTTCTTGTTCATTCCATGCGAGTGAACAAGGTGCTCTTGCAGATTCGTCGCGGATTTTAGGGGGCTACGACAACAATCTCGTGTCACCGATGAGACTCTCCAGGAACGTCGGGTGTACCCAGCGCCCGTTATTCAACGCCATATTTATTGAATCTGTGGGATCGAGGATCCGTCGTGGGGTGCGCGCGTTCGGGTCTTTCTCTCTCTCTCTCGAGAAGTAAAAAATAAACACCGAGAAGACACACTCGCTCGATTCCGCGTCCCTTCTTGTCTGTACCATCCGTTTTCCCCTTCGATATCTCTCTCTCTCTCTTCCTGAACGAGATCCCGGGTCGCGCACTTTCGGGGCTCGTCCCCTTAATTCGAAGCGGCGAGGCGTTGCCCCCGAAGTCTCTCTCGTATCGCGGAGAGGCCGAAATCAAAAACGTCGGAGGGTAAAACCACCCTCTAAAATCGTTTCGAATCGATAAGGGACGGACGCGCCACCAGAGAGAAAAAGGAGAGAGAGAGAGAGAGAGAGAGAGGATTCTCGCGCGGCGGCGAAAAATGTAATCGGATTTAATTGGATCGGTGATTGCGAGAGGACACCCTTGTTTATTTTCGGGAGCTATGGAGCCGAGAAATGGAAGGCGCTCTCGAATGCGCGGCCGCGCTCCGAGAGAGCCGCGCGATTTTTGCTCTTATCGGCGAGCTCGGCGTTCGGCATTTTTTTTCGGCACAAAAACCCTGAATTTTAATCCGTATTGGAGATTTTAACGGCGCTCTCTTCGCTCTTGCAGTTACGCGAGATACTATAGTTGCCCGAGTGTCGTTGATTTCGAAAAAAATGCGCGGAATGGCAGCATCCACTTGCGAATATTTCACAAAGCTTTCTGATTTTTGAATTTGTTCCATAAATTTAGGAGAAAATCAATATAATGAATGAGCAACGATAAATTACACCAAACAATTCTTTTTTGTTGACACGATAATTAATTCTTCATTGGACATTATTCAGATTTAAAAATATTATCATCGTTGCAAAAGGATTTTTTTTTTTTAAGAACAAATAGGAAGAGCGAACGCTGGCTCACAACGCTGATTTAAACGAGTAAATGTCAGCGCGAAATATTTGATCCGTACACAACAACGACGCACCATTCGTATTAATTAAATTATTGACTCACAGCGAACCGTAACTAACGTTCTTCGCGCAGTTAATGCAGTGTTTGCCGCAATTGGGAATCGCGAATCAAATGGGAAGGCAGCGAAGCATCCGGAACGATTGTCGATTATTCCGATTAGAAAACACGTCGAGATAATTAATTAATCGCGCGACGAGCCGTTAAACGTGCGAGATTGCGAAAAATTGGCCGGCGCAAACGATATACGATAAAATACCGCGAAAATAAAAAAAAAAAAAAAAAATGAAACGTCACTTTCGAACCGATCGATCGGTCCTTCGCGTCGCGACCGATCAGGATTGCGCGATCGGTCATCCGTGAGCAGATTGTCCCGTGCACACGCGATTGTCGCACC